GTTTTACCAGGCTGTGTACTGCAGTTAAACTCCATTCTAAGGCTTTAGCTTGCAGATGTTAAGAGTTACGGTTCGTGTAGACAAGTCCTAATAAAGTCACCTCACAACAAATCAACCTCCATTGTAGGAAATGTCCTTCATGCTCGTTTGCTAAGCTAACCAACTTACTTATGTGGAAATTACTGTATGTGCAACCACTATCATTAGAGAATGAAAGCTTGGCTCTTTGACATCTTAGAATCTGCACTTGTTACCTGGCAACCTCATGGCAACAAAACTCCAGGAAGCCACTAAAACAAGAGGAAATGTTTTCTACAGATAGCCCCTAAAAGTACACAATTACATTTCTACTTTTGTTCGAGTTCAAATAACAAGGCATCATGTGTGCTATGTATTGTTAATTATTGACCTTTAGAGGTGCCAGCAGGTGTATTGTTTAATATAGGACACAGCTGCACTTACTCTTTCCCCTGTTTTCACCCTTCATTCTGAGTAAAATAACCACCTCCTGCCTCTAGTTAGATACCGAGTGTAAAAACAGACGAGGGGAATCAATTCTCTCTTTGAAATCTAAGCAAAAATGTGCAAAATGATTCAGTATAAATTTCAATATCAGGGCCTTCATTTGATAAATGTATGAATCAAAAATTAAGATGCTTGAACTCTTTAATTTCGAGTGTAAAGTGTAATAACTGGCTTTAAAAATAGAAAGAAAACAATAATAAGCCTGACATACGGTTTTCAGGAGGTTCATACTCTCTTCATGTTGAATGAACTGATTGGCAACGTGTCACACATCCTGAAATTTTATTTGGTCTTTGCTTACAGCAGAGTCTGCCTCTGCCAACATCTCAGATATGTGTCTGTGATCAGGAACTAGAATTGTTCTCATTCTGTCATCGGATCACCCCACAGCTCTGCCTTTCACTTTTTAACAGCCTCCAGACAGAAACCAAACTGCTAATGACCAAACAAGGGAATTATCCCAATACCGAGACAGTTCCTTTCCACCGCCATCCTGCCTAACTCCCTGACAAATTACAGCTTATTCCTGCCTGTATTCCTCACTAATTGCTGGTGGAACTGACAGTGTCTGGGTGGATGCTGTCTTCTCCAGTTGCTCTGTGTCAAGCTCAGCCAGGAGCAGAACAGTAATTACCGCTACAGCTCCAGCAGTTTTCATTATTAAGGCTTTAATTGCGTTCTGGGCACCTCGTGTACTGTTGCTGCAGACTTCCAGACGCTTTTATCTGCGAAGAAAACAGTCGGCAGGGCTGCTGAAGCGACTTGATGACTCGACACTGCTGTGTTTCGGAGCAAATTAGCTCGAGTGAGAATTAATGACAAGTGCTCTTGTTATTGGAGTTTTGTTGGAATAGCTTTTAAACGTGCCCTTTAAAGTGCATTAGCAAATGAGTCACTTTTACTAAGTAGATTTTCTTGTACATTTTTATCAAAGCTGATGTGTTTTGCGTTTCCTGCCACGGTCGCCACGTGATCGATAAGCCAAATAACAAGATCAGAGTAGGCAGCGGTTCTCTTGTACCACCTTGCACCAATTTCAAGAGCATCGCTGAAGTGGAGAAAGACTTGTTTGTAATGTGAGTTGAAATTTAATTTTGTTGCACCAGTCATTTCACAATGACTGTATAACAATGTACTGTAGCTATAGATGTGTTCATATCCATTTGCTTTATGTGCATTTTCATTTTGCACATTAAATTAGCAATTTCCCTGAGGTCTTGTACCGAAGGGATTAATAAAGTTTTATTCTAATTCTAAATAATTGGAGTGAAATAACCAGAAATTTTTGACACTCAGCTGTGTTGGAAAGTTCATGTACCAACAAAAGCAAAATGCAAGATTGACAATAAAGCAATTAATCATGACGTACATGAAGCATGTTGATGGCTTCTTGTCCACTAGAGGGCCAAAAATGAAAGAAGACAGCAACCTTCCACCAGTAATAAATTTATCAATCACATTTGACTGTTGCTGTTCGTCACTTTACCTTGTCTTTCTTTTTTGAAATGTAATTTTGTTGTTTAGTGTTTTAGTGTTCCTGTGAATTTGCACCACCAGCTGTTCATCTTGATGCACTCTGATTCTAATCCTATTAAAACCTGTTTGTCTAAGAGTAGTGGGTGCATTAACTGACATTTTCTTTAGTGGAAATTTGTATTAAATTCAACATGTGGTGCAATAGTTCAACATTGTGGAAATAAGAATTTGCTATCTTGTCCAGAGTAAGATGAGAGGATTGATACCAGACTTCAATATGAGGGTAAGCCAGTGGCCAGCTAGCTTAGCTCATAGCATAGCACTCCAGGCTAGCACTCCCAGTCTTCTCGTCAAGCGAAGCTAACAGGCAGCTAATGTTTGCTTGAGAGAAAGGGTTTGTGGGGGTCTGATGATTCATTAAGACACCTGCAAATGCTCTGTCTCAGATCTTTTAATAGAAGACATGTCGAGAATGTGTGAGTATAAAAGTGGAGGGCTGAAAACAAGCTGACATTTTTAGCCTTAATGGCTCATCCATTTACCTTCAGGGTGTCAGGCTCAGTGCTGACAGTTCCACCTGTCAGAATCCTTTCTCCCAACATCGTCTGTGATGGTCTGTATGTGGGGGCTGAGCAGTTGGACCTCGAGGAGCCCATCCTAATGAGGAACAGTCCCAACAAGAAGCCCAACGCTAACCCCAGAGCCAGGCCGGAGAAGTATGGACTGAGAGGTAGGATGAAGTAGCCATAGGACAGCACTGCCACACAGAATAAGCTCATTCTTGGCAGGGGGTGAGGTGGCTGAGGGACAGGAGAGCTTCGAACCAGGGGTGCTGCTTGAGCCCGAGAACCAGTCGACCTCCTCGCCTGCCTCTGAGTCTCGATGGCTAAGACTTGCATCACATCACCATCTGCATATATTTCCAGCTCCTCGTCCCTGTGATGCTGTCTGTGGTGATGCACGGGGCAAGGGCTGTGGTGAATTCTCCCCAGATGTCTTACAGAAGGCCACTCAAACACAGAAAAAGAATCAGCATCAGTTTTTCTAGAGTTTCTCACAGGAGACTCTGAAAGCACCGTATCTGTGCTACTTTCCCGTCCCAAACCTCTGGAGCTGATCTGGTGAGACACCTGGGTCTTGCCCTGGTGTTTGGGGCTGCCTCCACTTTCCTCCCTCATGATCTTGCTGAACATGTTGCTCAGAGGTTCATGCACCGCCTCCGAGAGCTTCCTCTTGGTGTCCTCCAGCTCCATTTTGAAGAAACCCCCTTTCAGACCCTCTCCACTGGGGGACAGTGAGCTAGGAGATGGGGGAGCGGTACGAGAGTCCCCATTGCTGCGGGTTTTTGGTTGCGTCAGCTGCTTCCACAGGTGGAGGTTGAGGCGGGAGTCCGATTTGGACTGTGACACCTCGGGTTCCGAGCGGGAGATCTCTGTGGAGATCGACTTCACGAGGCTGAGAAAGGGTTTGGGTCTGAGAGTGGAACTTTCTTTCAGCTCCAGTTCTGTGGAGAGAGACTTGACAAGGCTTGCCAGGGGCCGGTGGGTGGGTGAGGAAGGGCCGGGAGAGAGGAAGCTGGGCCCCGTGGCGGAAATGTTCCCCAATGAGCCGGGAGACGAGGGAGAAAGAGGGACGTGGAAAGCTTGGGCCTGCTGGCCTCGGTCATCCTCGATGGAAAGTTGCCTCTCCTTAGGGAGTGATATCGAGGGGTAGTCCTCATCATGGTCAATAGAGAAGATGAGCTCACTGTCGTCCAAGCTGTCCCACTCTCCCTCCGTCCCCGTCAGCTGGATCACAATCCCCCGGGGGAGATGTCTCTTTGTCCCAGTGGAGGTGGCGCCAGCTGGGGTGAGGCTGTCCGGTTTCTGGAGAGGAGCACCACCTCCGTTTCCTTTATCCTCACTTCCTCGTTCCCCATTTTTTCCATGCTCTGCCATTTCTTGACTTTACATCTCCGAGCCAAGGCACCTGTGTGTCACTGAAAGAGAATAAATAAAGAACACGGTCAGCTACATTATTAAACCGCGGAGGCCGAACAAATAAGGGAGCGAGCCATAGAGAAGTGAGAGGAAGGGCATCTTTTCTCTGCTTGTGCATCATTTTCACAGAAACTGCTTACTGGTGCCAACTGCGCATTAATGTGTGAATGTCATGTCGTTCAGCTCTGAAGAGTTGTGGAAATCTACAGTAATCTGAAGACTAGTGAGTCTGAATCACAGCCAAGTAAGCACCTCTCCCATAGCTGTCGCTCCACATACTGAGTGAGTTTTAGAGGCATGCAAAAATAGACGGGAAAGACTTTCTTCCCCAAATGTTGCACAAACTAGGGCAGCTCAGGCGTGGATCTAATGGGGCCAATTGAATGTCTATAGAAAATTCAGAAATATAGTTGCGAAACAAAAAAAAAGCACAATTTAAATAGTCTTCTAGTGTAGGATACATGTCATATTTTTCAGTTTTACAAAAATTGTAAGAAAACTTTCATACTGGCATTACTATGCTCACATTCTGAAGTAGTATTTAGCGTGTCATCTCCCCCAAGAAACAACTACAGTGTCTTCCAGCATCATCCCCTAAAGACCTGACTGTCAGCCGTAAAAACCCTGAGCCACAACACTCCCTCTGATGTCTTTTCGAGCTGCTTAAAGAGTTACTTATGTAACCCTGACATGAATAGCGAGGGGAGTTCAAAGATGCTCTCTGTCGTCCCCCCATCCACCCCCCACGTGGCTTTTGTATGTCAGCAGCCTTGCGTGTTTCCACAGAACACATTAAACAGCCGCCACCTACTGACTTGTCAAAAATGATACAAGCAAATCCCAACACAGAGCCCACAGTTGATGTATTACAGGGTCATTTCGTGACAGAAAAGAGCAGCTCTGCATCACTGGACACGGGCTGGAAACCAGCACAAAAGCCCAATGGCAGATCTTTTATTTGCTGTCTCTTGGGGTCAAGTTCCCCTGCTCTTTATACGAGTTAAACCCTACCTCTGACTGGTCAGATTTACGTAAGTGTATTACAGCGCTGTGTGGCACAATTTCAACCAATTCCACAGCAGCTGGTGGATTCGGACTAATCTGCTCTCGCCCAAAATGGACGGTGGGGAGATAAACCTAACAGACACACATGCAGCCAGGCGGCATTAGACCTTCCTCACAGCTTTTCGCAGGGTGGGATGAAGGTCCACAAGCTGCAAGGTGCCAAATGCCCTCAAACGCACACGTCAGACAAACTGCTGCTAATGCTAACTATGCTTTGTTCCAGCTGATTGTACAACACAAACAGGACAGCACTGTCTTGTTGTCAAGTGAGTTTGGAAACCGCTATACGTGGAGTCCAGATGTTGGTGCTTTTTTTTTTTTTCTTTTTGCACTAATCCAAATGTTCTTATATCACTGCAGCTATAAGTCGGCTTTTTCTATAAAAGGCACATGAAACAAACATTTTCTGGTAGTGAAAGGATCAAATCAAGAAGTGTATGTACATTTTTTTGGTTGAGTAATAAAGTATTAACTGTGGAGAGGATAAGCTAAAATATTTGAGTTGGGTATCAAATAAGAAAAAGATAAAACAGTGTTGTGCAAGCTACTTGGGAAGTGCAGTGAGCTAAATGACTCTACATGGACCTTATGGGCACCAGATTATTTTCAGGACAATTCCACTACCTTTACTTTAAGACTTTTATCAGGATCTAAGGATTATCCATCTACACTGTATCTTGTTTTATTTTGTTGTTGTTTTTTCCAGGGTGGATCTGATTGAGAATTCAATGACACAAGGCATGCCAATATGATAGTGATCTGTGAATCAGAGATAGTGCCTGCCTTAACACATACCCTACACTCAAAAAGTCTTGAAGCTAGCAAATGAGACCTTAACCTCACTGGGTAAATGTTTACTGAGAGAACAAAACAAGTGAGATGAGTTTCACTTTCCAGACATGCCAAGTTAATCTTTTACATACAGTTTATGGGTGAAACTGTGGGTCATGGAAACATCTTTTAAACACAGACTGTTCTACGACCTACCTGTCATTCAAAGAGGCCACACCCTTAATTATACACAACCTTAAGCCTTATTACAATTTAAATAATATAAAAATGAATCCTCCTACATTTGTCAAATTTTAGCTGTAGANTTTATCTGTATCTGCAAGATCTGACATGAAATTGATAAGAAAACTTTATACAGTCATTACAGCATGTACACAACACTTCCTTACTAACTTAAAATTATAATAATGACGTTTATTAAAAGGTGAAAGCGACAAACTGAAGCTTCACATGTAAGGCTCTAAAGAGAAGCCAGTGTTGAAGTGACTTAAACCTGCATTCTGTCTAATGGTCAGCAGGGGGCAACTCATCTAGTTGCAAAAAGAAGTCAGAGTGTATAGAAATCTATAAGAGAATTACTTTACTTCTCACTTGATTTGTTGCCTCAATAAATATTTTCCTTCATGCATTTATGGTCTCAATCAGGAGTTTCAAGTCTCCTTCAATACAACATAATTAATATATTCATCATTTAATAAACTAGAGGCCTCAGTAGAGAGATATAGCTGCCCCTGCCGGCCATGATTGCACTGAGCCCCAGTAAACCATGATTCCATCCAACTTACCACCCAACAGCTGTTTTCTTTCACTATTCATGGTTGGCTGGTTGTCCAAGGGGAGATGGGTGCTATCCATGTATCATAATGGCAATATTAACATTTTCTAACCTTGAGATTGACCTTGAAATATAACCCAAGGTCAAATATAACATCATCAACAGAAAGCCCCAACATGGTTACTTATCTGCACCAAATACCATAAATCTACCTTCCACCCTTTTGAAGGTATACGTTATTTTTGAAAAAGTGACCTTTGACTTCTAGCAGAGCTATTTTTGCACTTATTGACCCCAAAATCGAATCACTCTGAAGAGAGGCCATTCTTAGCTCACCTGTAAAATATCAACTTGTTAGACCTCAGCACTCGAGCTACAGACTGTTCACAGACAGACACACAAATCGGACTGATTAGCAATTATAGTTATGGTCCCATTCAGAGCAAAATAGATGAGAAAGCAGGATTTGCTTTGGGCGAGGCTACCTTGTTACTGACAGGTCGCTATGTTATGCATAATGTCCTCGAATTCTTGGTCAGATCCACCCATCACTTGTCACGCCTGGGGTCAAAACAGCAAAACAGACGATCTAAATGCTAAACTTGAGGCTTTGAAATGGTTGTCCATGAAACAATGGGTGACACGTCAGTGACTCTGTCCATCTTTTACACTGCCTAGAGTTAATGTAAACTAAGGTATAGTAGTGAAATTGTACTTTTCATCATTGTATGTTCATGTCACTCTCTAAAAAGTGTACTGTGGGCACTTGTGTGTTATTACACAATGTCTCCTCAGAGTAAAAGTGACGCGTTAGCAGAGCAGCTGCAGCATTCAGGCACAGTACGGAGTGTAGGTGACCCAGGTTTCATCACTGCCGATGTGGGACTAAAACACCTCGATGGGCCGCTTAAACCACAACATGGGAGGAAGGTGAGAGGAGGTGAGCTGTGAGCTAATGAGAGAACTTCCACTGATAGCAGGAAGTTCAGAGGGAGTCCGGAAAGCGCAAATATTAAACTAAAACCTAAGGGTGCCTTTAGATAGACTTTAATATAAAACATTCAGCTAATTGCGATATGGTGAATAATGGTTTAAAGGTGCTTTTTACATGTGCTTTTCTGTTTTCTGCTACTTTATAAGTTGAATTCACAGCATCTCAGTGGCAAATAATGTTCACTCCACTGCATTAAGATGAAAGTAATGTTCAGTAGCTGCTGTGATGATTAAGGTAAAACATACAAAACATGCACAATGATGAGTTTTGTACTGCATTATATAACATCATACAGGATTTTAGTTCAATTGACACATCTTCTCTTGTTTACTTAAAAAAATATATACAAGTTTAATTAATTTCTGGGTGAATTTAACCTAAAGTTTTGTTTTAAGACCACTTTTAAACTTTATATTTTAAGTTCCTCTCACTCAAGTGTTTTTTTCTACATGAATAGACAGCTAAAAGTTTATTCAATGCATTCAATTAAGCTTATAAAAAGCAAAACTATCATTTTCACCAACGTCCCAGCAAGTATTTTAATTGAGGTAAAACTCCCCAGAGATTTCGTTTTCACAGTTTGAAGAAAACAGACCCAATGAAAACTTTCCATGTCTTTAATACACATTAAATAAAGTCCGAGTTGTTTCTTTTTATATGAATAAAAGCAGTTGTAACCATGACGACGGCTAATATTTAATTAAATTAGTAACTGAGATCATTGTTATCGCCACGCAGGTGATCTTTGCAGTGACGTTGGTACTAAATGACTTCAGTGGCTGCAGCTGTGAGATCTCTGTGTTAACTTATTTCAAAAGTGGAAAAGGAAAGCAGTTCTGTCTGTAAAGGTTGCACACGTGACGAAGCAACTGATTCAACTTTATACCTAAAGTTTATTCGACAGTTTCACAACAAATAAAGCGACCTTCAACTAATTAATCAACCTAATCCCTATTCACGCAGGACTACTGTTACCAGGGGACTTCTAGTAATTAGTAAAAAGCGTGGAGGTCGTCTGTCATTTAATCCCATGTGAATCCAGCGTGTCTACCGCTTGTCAAGTAAAAGTTCCAGTGCAAGTTACCTAGCACATTTCACACAGAAGTCCTATGATAGTACTAATATTTCGTGAATCAGCGTTTTAGTTTTTTTTGTTTTCTCTGCACCTTTATCTGCCGCTTTCATACTTCAATCACAGATAAAAAATTCAGAATATTTTATGTTACTATATAGTCTGAAGACCCATTTACAGAAACTACAGGCTCAAGTCCATCAGAGGAGCAAAATCGTGAAGGATGTTTAGATGGACCATTTTGCTCCTCTTTCAACAAGATCATCAGTTAATATGTGGAGGTCTGTTAGAATAATGACAGTAAATATGAGTAAAAAAACGGATCCAAACACTCTAAGAAAAGAACTTTAAAGGCTGTTAACTTACATTTTTAAGGCAGCAAAGGAACTTTCTGTTTCCTCCTATATTGTAGTCACATAAACGATCAGGTCATACAGCTTTTTTGATGTTTTGATCATAGTATTTTTGATCCCTCAGAGATTCCTGAAGCTCAGATGCAGCACCACTGAAATAATAATAATAAAAAAAAAACATTGTTCTGGTGGTGTTTGTGTAATGTGTTTGTAGTGTAATAATACTGTTTATTACAGTTAGCGTACCTGTTTTTACAATATTGAGTTATTCTAAAAAAAAAAATAATGTAATAGCAAGATAATAGAAGAACGTCTTTAGCATAATATTGGATTGGTTATGCTTATCAGTTATACAGCAACACAGAATATAGGTGATATTTGCGTTAGCCACTATATGCTCCTGGATGTACCAAACCACACAAGGTAGTAACACCTACTTTATAGCCCATTTTATTCTTATTCGTTTAACATTTAACAGGAAGATATTTTGTATTTCTTGTGTAAGGCTCCAATCTCTGTCTCAAATTGTGCAATAAAACTATTTCTTATGTCCACAAATTACTTCAAATTACATTTGTTATGTAACTAACCAGAGCTACAGTGATTCTGAGATAGCTTCTAATTAATATGACCTGATGGAAATGCCTGACAGCTTTAGATTGAAATGATACATATTGCAAATGTGTACACACAAAACAGGAGTATTAATGCTTATTTACACATGATAAATAAATGTAAAAAGCATCTGCTCACAATAATATAATATCTCTTCATTTTCTTCTGATGTAATATCATTTTCCTAATAAATCTCCAGAGACCTCTCTATCTACTTTAATTGCTCCTTTACATAAGAATGAGATCCAGTCTGTATTTGCGTGGACTATATTTAGAGTGCAGCTATGAAAGGCCTGCAGTTTAACATATCTCCCTGGCATATGGTATTATGATAATTACACAGCTATTACTCCAGTACATGGGTTTGTGAAATTAAATGAGCGCCAGGGGGCTTCACTGCTCGCACTAACCCAACTCGAGCTCTGAGTGTGTGTGAGTGACTGTGGGCATATGAGTGGCCGACTCCCCCCTTCACAACACACACACCCACCCACCCACATACCTTGCCATCTGTTGACATATGCAGCGGTTCAAAAATAGCCTCGACCAGAAGGTTCCGTAAGTGGCCGACAGATAGGCAGAGCAGGGCTCCTGTCGTGTGTCTGTGCAAGTTGTTGTGTCTTTGCAATGACCACGTGTTGGCCGGAAATCGTCCAAAACCACCACAACTCTACTTGACCGGAGAGTTTCTGCAGTTCTTTTTATAACAATTCCAAGTGGGGATTTCTTGTTGCTGTTTCCTTAAACCAGAGTGAAAGTTTGAATTGGTGCAAGCAACACTGCAAATGGAGCCCTTTTCTGACCAGTTCATGGAATTCCACCCGGTCCATGGAACCAACGTCCAACTGGACTACTCAGGAACTCAGGCCACACGAGTAGAAAGCTTCGCCAACGGAGTTTGTTTCAGCAAACACCCCCTCAAGCCCGGAGAGATCTTTCTCATAGAGATCGAGGATAAAGAGCTGGGCTGGTGTGGCCACCTTCGGGTCGGTCTGACAGCCCAGGACCCCAGGAGCTTTGACGCAGTGCCTGAATATTCCATTCCAGACTTGACAGACTTGGGGAACAGCTGGGTGTTTGCCATCACTCGCAACCACAACAAGATCATAGAGGATGCTGAGGTCGCAGAGGAAGGACTGCCTGGGGGTCAGAGGCTGGGGAGGGGAGAGGCAGAAGAAGATGCAGCCCCCAACATGAAACCAAAGACTTTCTTCACTGACACTCACCTGTACATCGACAGCGTTCGAATCCCCCGAGACAAGCTGGTCGGCCGGAGTCGACCCGGACGTTTCAGTCACATCTTGGATGACTTGTACAAGACCAACGCTCTGCCTCCCACAGCCAGACGCAGCAGGATAGGAGTTCTGTATGTGCCCAAAGGACAGGACCTGGCTGATATGCACATTGTCATCAATGGTGAGGACATGGGAGCTTCCGCAAAGGGAATCCCCACCATCGAGCCTCTCTTCGCTGTGGTGGACGTTTTTGCTGCTACCAAGTGTGTCCGAATTGTCCAGGTGGAGTACGGGTGTAAGTGTCCCAACGATAGCTTTGGTCATGGATGGATTATGAGGTAGTGAGATCCTGGGCACATACTGTCCAAAAGAGACACAAAACAGCTACAAGTGATGCATCATATAATGTCTTTTTCACACTTTGCAGGTGAAGCTGAACTCTTAGACTTTCAGAGGCACAAAGAAAAATCACTTTCCATGTCTTTGCGTTCATGTTGTAGCTTTGTGATTGTTTGTATGCATTTGTTGCCACTTTGTGTCTCTTTGTCATTGTTTTCTGTCTCTTTGTGTAGTTTTGCGTCTCTTTGTGGTTGCCTAGTGCTTTCTTGTTGTTTTTTGTGGCCTTACGTGGTTGCTTTGTGTGTCTTTGTATTTGTTTTATGTCTCGCTGTGGTGGTTTTGTAACTTTTTGTAGTTTTTATGTGTCCATTTGTGGTTGCTTTCTGTGTCTTTGGAGTTGTTTTGTGTCTTTTTTGAGTGGTTTTATGCCTTTTTGTTGTCTTTTGTGCCTGTTAGTGGTTGTCTTGCATCACTTTGTGGTCACTTTGTGTCTCTTTGTAGTCAGTTTGAGTGTCTTTGCAGTTGTTTTGTGTCTCTTTGTAGTTGTTTTTTTCCCCTTTGCATTTGTTTTGTGCATATTTTTAAACATTTTCTGTCTCTTTGTGGTTGTTTTGTTTTTTGTTATAGTCATTTTGTGTCCCATTGTTGTCATTTTGAGTCACTTTAAAGTATTTTGTGCTTCTTTGTGGTCACTTTGTCATTCTGTATGATTGTTTTGTGTTTCTGTGTGGTCATGTTGCGTCTTTGCAATAATTTGATTGAATGAGAGGAAAACTAACTGCTGTTGCTTTGGCTCAGGCCTCACTGAGTCTGTGCAAACTTTGCATATTCAGTAATCCATCCCGGCTTTTATTGCATCTTTTAAAAAAAGAAATCCCAATGATTTCTGTCATTACTATCTTTACTCTGCTAATCTGCATTTTTTAAAATCTCTTTTCTGTCTCTTCAGTCTCTTCTTTGCAGACATTGTGCAGGAAGACCATCCAGAAGCACATCGTCCACCGGATGGCCCTCGACTGGTTGGAGCTGCCAGAGGCTCTCAAGCACTACTGCAAGTATGAATGAAGGACATTGGCCTACACTAGAGAGAAACATCATCTGTGAGCTCTCTCACGGTTTCTACCACGGAAATGTATTTATTTTTATGATGTGTTTCATTTATTAAAAAAATACAGCAGAGCGTGTTATGCTCTTGATACTTATTAAAGCTGACATCATGTGTTTGAGATGGCATCCGCAAAGTAAAATAAATTCAGTGATTGTAAGTTGTCGTTTGATTGATTTTAATATTACCATCCCAGTGACTCATGCCTTGTCTGTGTTTCATTTAATTAGCGGATAATTAGAGCTGTAGCTGCAGGCGTCAAGTCAGATCGCACCTCGGCGTTGGCGCTTGCTTACAGCTGTGAGAATGATCTGCAAATATGATCTCGTTGATTGGTGTGATGGAGCTTAGAAAAGCACCTTATTGTTTTCTGCTTAATGAGACCCTTGAACTTGTATGTTTGCTGCTGAGTTTGGGTTTTTACTCCATAGTCTGTGAACGCTGTGCAGTAACAGTTTGGAAGTCTCAGTTTTCAGGATGTAATATGAACAGGTTACTGAAGTAGAAGTNGGCACTACAACATCAGCATGCTATGGAATTCACAGTGACAACATGCTGATGTTTAGCAGATGTGTTTACCGTGTTTACCATCACGCTTAATTCTGCAAACTAGCAGGAAGCACAACAGAGGCAGATGGAAATGCTATTAGTTTTGTGGGTATCTGGTCACAAACCAGTCATCTGTAATGAAGGAAAGGTAGTCATGTCCGAGTGCCATAAACATCTGAACAAAATTTTCTAACAATCCATTTTTTAGTCTATAAAATAACTTCATCTGGATTAACTGATATGTGACTAATGTTGCTTAAAGCCCAATCCTAGTGAAGTTTCTTAGGGATGAAAGAGTCGTAGAATCTCACAGCATACATGTGTACATTCCTAATCCTTTATCTCACAGACTTCCTCTTAAAAGAATATGTTTCAAAGTGTTTGCATGATCTCGGCTGACTCACCCGACTTCGTCCTCTGGGTTTTCGATTTAACTGTGTTGTTGGAAGTATTCAGCTGTGACAAACCCAGAGGCCACAGAAAGCTGGGTAAAATATGTGGTTTAAATAAGGACAAGCAAAGAAAGGCAACAACAACAAAAGAAAACCCAGGGTGAATGGGAGTAAACACGCTTCATGGATTATTTAAAATCAATATCTGCATGACTTTAGAACTCCAAGAGGGGGTCGCTTTTAAAAGCTCCTTTTTTGTAAGCAAAACGGTCATTTCAAGTTCCCAGCAGCACGTAAGGCTTAATCATAAGCTCCTGTAAAACAAACACAGAAGAGCCGGCGACACTTCCATACTGCTGCGTGTGAAAAACAGACGGCTCATGTAACAACTTTAACACGAAACACATCTGCTCTGAGTGCACAGCAGCACGTTCAATCAGTCCTTTACATTCTCCCTCAGTGGAAGCAGAAACCTAACTGTGTTTCTGAGCGTGTAGGGGGGTTTGTGGGTTTGTGTGCCGCCCTCCGATCAGAACATCAACAGTAACAATCTCAGATTAACAGTAATGCAGGGTTTTACTGTGAAATCTGACAAATCACACAGCCGGATTATGGGCTAAACCAGCATTTGGTGGAATGTGTTTCCAAGCTAGCTCATCTCCTTGACCCAGTGTTGATTGTAGTTATTAGTATCCTTCAGATTCGCTTTGCTATCAGTGATCTTAGCCTCTTATTCTTTGGCTTAAAGTCAAACACAGACTGACAGAGAACAAAGAACTGAAAGGTGCATTTAACTCGTGCAGCCTCCAGATTGATACCTTTAGGTGTCACATGGAGATGATCTGAACCCAAAACTACTTCACCCAGCAAAATAAAAGAAAGCTTTGCCTCTCAGTCATGATGCTTTGTGAAACCTGCAAGATAAAAGCTCTGATCAGCACTATGTGGAGAAATTCTGCACATCTAATATGCATCTAAAGCTTAATAGTTGATGTGTTGGTTAGTTGTTAAACCCCTTTGTTGATAAAAGTTTAAAACAAATATGGCATCATTTGCAGATTCCTGTCTCTCCTAATGTGAACATTTGCTTTAGTTAGTTGAAGAAAACATGCAGCTTCTCACACATTTCTTACTACTTTCTTACATATTTATAGACAAAGTGATCAATCTGTTCATTATAATTATTCCAGTAGAAGCCTTTTAATGACATATTGATCATATGGCAATGCTGCACATGCACAACATGCAACTAATATTCAGGTCAACACTTTCACCTTCTGCCAAGACAGGTGCCAGAAGAAGGCAGTGGAAGTTGGAGTGACGGTGGGTTTGTCAGGTAAAGTGTCCGAATACATGCAAAACTCCAAATGTCTGCAGCGTTGGTGATGTTTTGCAAAAAAAGAAAAAAAGAAACAAACACAGCGACAGGAAGGTAAATAGGAGATGCTTACTTACCAAAATGTGTCATGCGTAATTGCGTACGGAAAGATGCGCAAACCCGCTGGTTTGTGTTGCCTCCTGCTCGTTCGCTCTCCATTTGTGCGCGCAAAGGACCGCGAAATGAGAAGTCTCTCTCCCCCCCCCTCTCTCCCTCTCTCTCCTCTTTATCTCCCCCTACTCTCTGTCTCTCGCAGTCACACGCACGCACACCTCCCCTCAACCCGACTGCCCGCATCCAGATGTGTCATGCGCTGCCGAGAATCACAGCTCGCCAAACTGATTATGAAAAGCATGGCCGCGCTGCACGGTAATCCAGATTAAGAGTTCCTGCAGCCCCAACAGACGCGCACACACACAAACTCACCCACACGAACGTGCAAGCGGGGTGTAGATGCTGTCTAATTGGTGCAAACAGGGGGACGGATGAAGTCCAGGTTTAGTAGGACTATTCTGCTGCACTAGCATTAAAGAGTAAAACGTGCAAACAAGTGCAGCATCATCCTGAGAACTATGGCTACTCGACAAAAACTTGTGCCAAAATCCACCTCAGATAAGAGGTGGTGGCTGAATTTTTCTTGCAAAAGTGCAAAACAGGAAGACATAAGAATAAATGAGCCTCCTCTCTCTCCTCCCCTCCCTCCCTCCCTGCCTCCACCTTGGCCTACATAAAACACACTGGAAGCCCTAGAAATGACAATATGAGGAACGGGCCAGAGCAGCAGCTGAGGTGAGAGGCAGCAACCTCCATCCATCACTGACTGAGGTGGAGACTCACTCATATTCTAGCTCCATTTTACTCCATCAACCCCTTTTTGCTCTTTAGATTTATGTGCTCGCTTGTTATATGTTGATTTTTGTTATGCATTAAGTTCCTTTTTTTTGTTTTTTGTCATCCATCATCCATTGTTTTTACTTTTTATTCCTCTTTTTACATGATTGTGTGTGTGTGTGTGTGTGTGTGTAGGTGTGTGTGTTTATTCTAAAGCACCACAATGCTGGTTTTCATATATGACCATTTCTTTATCCTGGACCATGCTAGAGAGCAAAATGTTGGATTTAATATCAAATGTGCCCCAAAAAGCATCTTGTTTTATCTGTATCTGCAAGATCTGACATGAAATTGATAAGAAAACTTTATACAGTCATTACAGCATGTACACAACACTTCCTTACTAACTTAAAATTATAATAATGACGTTTATTAAAAGGTGAAAGCGACAAACTGAAGCTTCACATGTAAGGCTCTAAAGAGAAGCCAGTGTTGAAGTGACTTAAACCTGCATTCTGTCTAATGGTCAGCAGGGGGCAACTCATCTAGTTGCAAAAAGAAGTCAGAGTGTATAGAAATCTATAAGAGAATTACTTTACTTCTCACTTGATTTGTTGCCTCAATAAATATTTTCCTTCATGCATTTATGGTCTCAATCAGGAGTTTCAAGTCTCCTTCAATACAACATAATTAATATATTCATCATTTAATAAACTAGAGGCCTCAGTAGAGAGATATAGCTGCCCCTGCCGGCCATGATTGCGCTGAGCCCCAGTAAACCATGATTCCATCCAACTTACCACCCAGCAGCTGTTTTCTTTCACTATTCATGGTTGGCTGGTTGTCCAAGGGGAAATGGGTGCTATCCATGTATCATAATGGCAATATTAACATTTTCTAACCTTGAGATTGACCTTGAAATATAACCCAAGGTCAAATATAACATCATCAACAGAAAGCCCCAACATGGTTACTTATCTGCACCAAATACCATAAATCTACCTTCCACCCTTTTGAAGGTATACGTTATTTTTGAAAAAGTGACCTTTGACTTCTAGCAGAGCTATTTTTGCACTTATTGACCCCAAAATCGAATCACTCTGAAGAGAGGCCATTCTTAGCTCACCGGTAAAATACTAACCTGCTAGACCTCAGCGCTCGAGCTACAGACTGTTCACAGACAGACACACAAATGGGACTGATTTGCGATTATAGTTTTGGTCCCATTCAGAGCAAAATAGATGAGAAAGCAGGATTTGCTTTGGGCGAGGCTACCTTGTTACTGACAGGTCGCTATGTTATGCATAATGTCCTCGAATTCTTGGTCAGATCCACCCATCACTTGTCACGCCTGGGGTCAAAACAGCAAAACAGACGATCTAAATGCTAAACTTGAGGCTTTGAAATGGTTGTCCATGAAACAATGGGTGACACGTCAGTGACTCTGTCCATCTTTTACACTGCCTAGAGTTAATGTAAACTAAGGTATAGTAGTGAAATTGTACTTTTCATCATTGTATGTTCATGTCACTCTCTAAAAAGTGTACTGTGGGCACTTGTGTGTTATTACACAATATCTCCTCAGAGTAAAAGTGACGCGTTAGCAGAGCAGCTGCAGCGTTCAGGCACAGTACAGAGTGTAGGTGACCCAGGTTTCATCACTGCCGATGTGGGACTAAAACACCTCGATGGGCCGCTTAAACCACAACATGGGAGGAAGGTGAGAGGAGGTGAGCTGTGAGCTAATGAGAGAACTTCCACTGATAGCAGGAAGTTCAGAGGGAGTCCGGAAAGCGCAAATATTAAACTAAAACCTAAGGGTGCCTTTAGATAGACTTTGATATAAAACATTCAGCTAATTGCGATATGGTGAATAATGGTTTAAAGGTGCTTTTTACATGTGCTTTTCTGTTTTCTGCTACTTTATAAGTTGAATTCACAGCATCTCAGTGGCAAATAATGTTCACTCCACTGCATTAAGATGAAAGTAATGTTCAGTAGCTGCTGTGATGATTAAGGTAAAACATACAAAACATGCACAATGATGAGTTTTGTACTGCATTATATAACATCATACAGGATTTTAGTTCAATTGACACATCTTCTCTTGTTTACTTAAAAAAATATATACAAGTTTAATTAATTTCTGGGTGAATTTAACCTAAAGTTTTGTTTTAAGACCACTTTTAAACTTTATATTTTAAGTTCCTCTCACTCAAGTGTTTTTTTCTACATGAATAGACAGCTAAAAGTTTATTCAATGCATTCAATTAAGCTTATAAAAAGCAAAACTATCATTTTCACCAACGTCCCAGCAAGTATTTTAATTGAGGTAAAACTCCCCAGAGATTTCGTTTTCACAGTTTGAAGAAAACAGACCCAATGAAAACTTTCCATGTCTTTAATACACATTAAATAAAGTCCGAGTTGTTTCTTTTTATATGAATAAAAGCAGTTGTAACCATGACGACGGCTAATATTTAATTAAATTAGTAACTGAGATCATTGTTATCGCCACGCAGGTGATCTTTGCAGTGACGTTGGTACTAAATGACTTCAGTGGCTGCAGCTGTGAGATCTCTGTGTTAACTTATTTCAAAAGTGGAAAAGGAAAGCAGTTCTGTCTGTAAAGGTTGCACACGTGACGAAGCAACTGATTCAACTTTATACCTAAAGTTTATTCGACAGTTTCACAACAAATAAAGCGACCTTCAACTAATTAATCAACCTAATCCCTATTCACGCAGGACTACTGTTACCAGGGGACTTCTAGTAATTAGTAAAAAGCGTGGAGGTCGTCTGTCATTTAATCCCATGTGAATCCAGCGTGTCTACCGCTTGTCAAGTAAAAGTTCCAGTGCAAGTTACCTAGCACATTTCACACAGAAGTCCTATGATAGTACTAATATTTCGTGAATCAGCGTTTTAGTTTTTTTTGTTTTCTCTGCACCTTTATCTGCCGCTTTCATACTTCAATCACAGATAAAAAATTCAGAATATTTTATGTTACTATATAGTCTGAAGACCCATTTACAGAAACTACAGGCTCAAGTCCATCAGAGGAGCAAAATCGTGAAGGATGTTTAGATGGACCATTTTGCTCCTCTTTCAACAAGATCATCAGTTAATATGTGGAGGTCTGTTAGAATAATGACAGTAAATATGAGTAAAAAAACGGATCCAAACACTCTAAGAAAAGAACTTTAAAGGCTGTTAACTTACATTTTTAAGGCAGCAAAGGAACTTTCTGTTTCCTCCTATATTGTAGTCACATAAACGATCAGGTCATACAGCTTTTTTGATGTTTTGATCATAGTATTTTTGATCCCTCAGAGATTCCTGAAGCTCAGATGCAGCACCACTGAAATAATAATAATAAAAAAAAAACATTGTTCTGGTGGTGTTTGTGTAATGTGTTTGTAGTGTAATAATACTGTTTATTACAGTTAGCGTACCTGTTTTTACAATATTGAGTTATTCTAAAAAAAAAAATAATGTAATAGCAAGATAATAGAAGAACGTCTTTAGCATAATATTGGATTGGTTATGCTTATCAGTTATACAGCAACACAGAATATAGGTGATATTTGCGTTAGCCACTATATGCTCCTGGATGTACCAAACCACACAAGGTAGTAACACCTACTTTATAGCCCATTTTATTCTTATTCGTTTAACATTTAACAGGAAGATATTTTGTATTTCTTGTGTAAGGCTCCAATCTCTGTCTCAAATTGTGCAATAAAACTATTTCTTATGTCCACAAATTACTTCAAATTACATTTGTTATGTAACTAACCAGAGCTACAGTGATTCTGAGATAGCTTCTAATTAATATGACCTGATGGAAATGCCTGACAGCTTTAGATTGAAATGATACATATTGCAAATGTGTACACACAAAACACAAGTATTAATGCTTATTTAGACATAATAAATAAATATAAAAGCGTCTGCTCACAATAATACAATATCTCTTCATTTTCTTCTGATGTAATATCATTTTCCTAATAAATCTCCAGAGACCTCTCTATCTACTTTAATTGCTCCTTTACATAAGAATGAGATCCAGTCTGTATTTGCGTGGACTATATTTAGAGTGCAGCTATGAAAGGCCTGCAGTTTAACATATCTCCCTGGCATATGGTATTATGATAATTACACAGCTATTACTCCAGTACATGGGTTTGTGAAATTAAATGAGCGCCAGGGGGCTTCACTGCTCGCACTAACCCAACTCGAGCTCTGAGTGTGTGTGAGTGACTGTGGGCATATGAGTGGCCGACTCCCCCCTTCACAACACACACACCCACCCACCCACATACCTTGCCATCTGTTGACATATGCAGCGGTTCAAAAATAGCCTCGACCAGAAGGTTCCGTAAGTGGCCGACAGATAGGCAGAGCAGGGCTCCTGTCGTGTGTCTGTGCAAGTTGTTGTGTCTTTGCAATGACCACGTGTTGGCCGGAAATCGTCCAAAACCACCACAACTCTACTTGACCGGAGAGTTTCTGCAGTTCTTTTTATAACAATTCCAAGTGGGGATTTCTTGTTGCTGTTTCCTTAAACCAGAGTGAAAGTTTGAATTGGTGCAAGCAACACTGCAAATGGAGCCCTTTTCTGACCAGTTCATGGAATTCCACCCGGTCCATGGAACCAACGTCCAACTGGACTACTCAGGAACTCAGGCCACACGAGTAGAAAGCTTCGCCAACGGAGTTTGTTTCAGCAAACACCCCCTCAAGCCCGGAGAGATCTTTCTCATAGAGATCGAGGATAAAGAGCTGGGCTGGTGTGGCCACCTTCGGGTCGGTCTGACAGCCCAGGACCCCAGGAGCTTTGACGCAGTGCCTGAATATTCCATTCCAGACTTGACAGACTTGGGGAACAGCTGGGTGTTTGCCATCACTCGCAACCACAACAAGATCATAGAGGATGCTGAGGTCGCAGAGGAAGGACTGCCTGGGGGTCAGAGGCTGGGGAGGGGAGAGGCAGAAGAAGATGCAGCCCCCAACATGAAACCAAAGACTTTCTTCACTGACACTCACCTGTACATCGACAGCGTTCGAATCCCCCGAGACAAGCTGGTCGGCCGGAGTCGACCCGGACGTTTCAGTCACATCTTGGATGACTTGTACAAGACCAACGCTCTGCCTCCCACAGCCAGACGCAGCAGGATAGGAGTTCTGTATGTGCCCAAAGGACAGGACCTGGCTGATATGCACATTGTCATCAATGGTGAGGACATGGGAGCTTCCGCAAAGGGAATCCCCACCATCGAGCCTCTCTTCGCTGTGGTGGACGTTTTTGCTGCTACCAAGTGTGTCCGAATTGTCCAGGTGGAGTACGGGTGTAAGTGTCCCAACGATAGCTTTGGTCATGGATGGATTATGAGGTAGTGAGATCCTGGGCACATACTGTCCAAAAGAGACACAAAACAGCTACAAGTGATGCATCATATAATGTCTTTTTCACACTTTGCAGGTGAAGCTGAACTCTTAGACTTTCAGAGGCACAAAGAAAAATCACTTTCCATGTCTTTGCGTTCATGTTGTAGCTTTGTGATT